AAATATAAATATGCATAATTGAGAACAAATTGAAGTACCTTTTTTAACTTATCTGACAAAGATTTAAAATCTCTCAATATACACTGTTGTGGAAGGTACGAATAAATAGCTACTCATATATTGTTGGTGAGAGTATAAATTATTACAGATTGCTTTTTTTCCAAAACATGGTCTCACTTTGTTGCCTGTGCAGCAGGAGCATGATAGCTTACTACAACCTCAAACTCCTGGGCTCAAGAGATCCTTGTGATTCAGCTGGGGCTACAGGCATGTGTCACAACGCCCAGCTAATTTTTCTATTTTTCATACAAACATGTTCTTGCTACAATGCTCAGGCTGGTCTTGAACTCCTGGCCTTAGTCTCCCAAAGTGTTAGGATTACAGGCATGAGCCATGGGACCTGGCCTATTACAGACATTTTTTACATCTTAGGAGCCAACTTGTTACTACCAAAATTGTAAATACAGTTGATTCTTGTTATTTGCAGTATGGTCTATAAAGCCAGAAACACTGAATTAGTGAATACTAAATCATTGCTTCTTGCAGAAATACTGAATAAATTATTCCTAGGGTTAGGTTTCTGGGATCTCTGGTCACCACAGTTTTATCAACCGATCAATACATAACCTTCTTTTACATATGTTTCTGTTTAAAGACATGTTTGTTTACTCTTTAACATGGAAGTCATGACCAACAAGATTGTAACTCATGCCTAAACTAAGCTTATCTAATACATGCATTTTCTCCATAAGGCACGTCTCAGTCTTCCTGTGGTTAAGAACATGAGTCAGCCTTTCACCACTATGCTTGGGGGCCATTTTAAACAGTAAAATAATCTGCAACAGGCACAAAAGTAAGTAAAATATGTGCTAAAGAGACCATGTTCTCACCATAAAAAAAGACGGATATGTTAACTAGCTTGATTTAATTATTCCACTATATATATATATATACATATATATATATATAACACCACATTGTACACCATAAATGTATAAAATTTTTATTTCTCAATTTAAAGTAAATAATTTTTAAAAAAGAACTTCTTTTCCTATTCCACCCCGTGAGAACACAGCAAAGAGTCAGCAGTCTACAACCCAAAAGAGGACCCTCATCAGAACCCAACCATGCTAGCACACTGTTCTTGAACTCTCCAGCCTCCAGAACTGGGAGAAATAGATTTCTGCTGTCGAGAAGTCACCCAGTCTTGCCATTTTATAATAACAGCCAAATGGACCAAGACAAAATGTTATGTACTTAATGTCCATTTTCCTTATTCTTTTATTACCAGTGGAGGTCTTATTTTACTGAAAACATATTCACACACAGAAAATAATTATTTGATACCTCTAATTTACATAATCTCAGTCACTGTCATTCCGAGTATACCAAAGTTACAACTAGTTTTGTCTCCAAACTGGCTATGAGACCTCACATATACCGTATACCTGCAGTAGGCATCTTGCCCCTGTGATGTCCTGAATTGCACCATTTCTGCAAATTGAGCACCAAGCAAGTCTTTCAAAACTTCGCATTTACCAAGAAGTTCATCTTTAAAAAGTTAAAAATTTTTAAGTGCTCAGAACAAGATTTAAGGAAATAAACTGTTCATTCTGTGTGTAACACTGCGTAATTTACCTATTTATGATTCTCTAGCTTGTCTTATAAATCTCTCTTGTTCCCCAAATCCACATCAGCCTTCCGTAGTATACACTGAACTTAAATAGGCACAATCAAGGTATGGAGTGGCAAGAAGTAGGACCCTAGGATGCTAAGGCGTCCAAGTCATGTACTCCCACTGATTTATTTATTTACCCAGCTTTCATTTTTTGAGCACATACAATGAGCTATGTATTTTTTGCTTTTGTGCTACATGCCTCATGTTCAATGGAACATCTACAAAGGGAATTTCCTCTGTGGTTCATAGCAGTTTCTGTTCCTTTCTGTATTCGCCCAAAAGTTTTAATTCCTAAAAGTGAAAAAGTACCACCAGTTTAAAGTCTTCTCTGTCTCAACCAGGAAGGCCAACAAAACACAACTAACAAGGGAGGAGGCTCATGCCTAGATCCAATATCTGAACATTCTGCAGGTGAGCACGCACATGAAGCAACACTCTGCCTCCCACTATTACACTGTAATTGCTTAATGGGAATTCAAGATACATATACATGAATATTCACCATAGCATTATTCATAACAGCCATAAAATAGAAAAAATCCAAATGGCCATCAACCAATGAATGGTATTTATATAAAACATAGTATGTATAATCCATGCAATGGAATATTATTTTGCAATAAAAAGGAATGGAGTACTGATACATAGTAAACATGAATGAACCTTGAAAACATTATGCTAAGTGTAAAAGAAGTCACTAGACCTTAGATTACTTGATTCTATTGATATAAAATACCAAGAATAGGCGAAACAACACAGATGAGAAGTTGATTACTGGTTGCTTAGAGGCGGGGGGGGGGGGGGGAGTAACAGCTGATAGATTCTTTAAATCTCCCCAAGATGTAATGGCTGAATTTGGCCGGGGGGTGGGGGGGGGAACAGGCACCTGTTTGGCTGCCACTTTCGGTGTCTCACTGGGTCATGTTCACCCCAAAACCACTAATTCTGATCCCAGTGCAGCCTTAGGAATTGCCCAAGGACTACAATCTTTGCACCCTGATTGCCTTACAAATTTACTCCAGGTCCCAGCCACTTTTGATGGTGCAGCTGGCCAGAGCCAGGTTTCCACCCCTGGGGAGGAGGATGCCCCTTTGGCGAGGGCTGTTCTAAATGCTTGCTCCGTGGGTGCCAGCAGAATTCTGTCCTGTGTTGTGTTCCCCTGTGACACAGTAGCCCTGAATTCCAATACAAAATCCCACAATTACTTCACTTTCCCTCCTCCAATCACACAGATCCTCTCTTCACCTGACACTGGTGCAGTGCTTCTGGGGCTAGGGGAGGAGGGGCAAAGGCAAAACTCTCTGTTCTACCCTCCTCAGTGCCTCTTTCCTTGATATGATGTTAAAACCAGGTACTATGATCACTCACTTGGTCTTTGGTTCTTATAAAGATGCTTTTTTTTTTTTATTTATGTAAACAGTTCAATTTGTGTGTTCCTATGGGGATAATTGCTGGCAGGTTCTATTCCCCAATCTCACTCTGCTTCATCCCCTCAATTTTTCATATTAATTTTTTTAAAGTATTAAAAGATGAACACCTATAGTCCCCGCTACTCAGGAGGGTGAGGCAGGAAGATTGCCTGAGCCAGGGAGTTTGAGGTTGCTGTGAGCGAGGTTTATGCCATGGCACTCTAGCCTGGGGGAATGGAGGTAGAGTCTGTCCAAACAAAACAAAGCACACCAAAACAAAATCCTGAGGCAAATGCTAAACTGCACTGGATGCAGGAGGACAGATTTAAATTGTGAGCTTTCCAGGAAAACGAGGATATGTGATCCCCCTAGTTCTAAATAAACCAAGTTCTAGTTCCAGGTTCTCTACCTGCTCCTCACCCTACAGAAGCCAGCCTTACACAGACATGCTTCAGGGGTCCTCAGACTTTTTAAACAGGGGGCCAGTTCACTGTCCCTCAGGCCACTGAGGGCTGGACTGCGGGCCCCAGGACGAGTCGGCTGCTAAGCAGGACAGGCAGTAGCAGCAAAAACACCCGGCAGGCTGGATAAATGTCCTAGGCAGGCCGCAGTTTGAGGACGCCTGCCCCTGACAGGTATGTGGGAGGACACCTGACCTGAGACTATGCTATTAAACCATAAACTGCCAACAAAATACAACAGGGCCCAGACTAAGAATTCAAATTAGTTAATCAATTTCTCTTCCTCGGGTATTTTAACCAAGGGAAAAATAAGAGAAAGGGGCAGTTAAAAACTGAAGCAGAAACTATATGGTCTGATGTAAAAATTGGACAAGAAAGCCATGACAGACCACATTCAAGCAGAAATTATGAGGGGAACAATAAAGGCAACCCCCGGGTTACAGACAAGATATATTCCTGCGAACCTTTTTAGGTCAGATTTGTATGTAAGTCAGCACTCTGATGAACAGTATATATATGGTAATAATAATACTGTAATGACTCATACGGTGATAATAGGTATAACACTGTAAAAATAATAATACCCCTGCATTGTAATAATAAGTTACAGAAACTATTATGCTCTTTCTTTTAATTCTTAGGCTATTAGGTATGTTTACACTTACTTTGATACTCTAACCAAATCAATAATAACTTTCCATTTCAATAATTAATCCACTACGCTGCTTAGTAATAACTGTTACTTTGGTTGGAGCACTGCCTTTTACGTGCTGCATTACTCTCAGTTTATCCTTTATAATTGTTCCAATAGTCAAGCTACGGAGGCCGGTGCTTTCCCAGGGAATGATGGTCTGGCCTTTCTCTGAATGCTTGATTATTTCTGCTTCATTTACATCATAATCGCCTTTCTCTTTGCTGCAGGCTCACCTGAGCTTGCACTGTACTTTCACTTTGGAGGCATCACCCTAAGGGGAAATACAGACCCACAAAATTGAATTTAAAAGTTAAAATAAAAGTGATGCTGTGCGTAAGTGACCACATAAACAATGAGACTAGCTGCCAGTGTAAACATGCTGTGCCAATGAACACTTATGTCATGCAGGTTTGTTTACATGCACAGGATAAACAGGTTCCTAGATTATTTATTTATTTACTTACGAATTATTTTTATGGAAGCCAGGCATGGTGGCTCACACCTGTAATCCCAGCACTCTCGGAGACTGAGGCGGGTGAACTACTTAAGCTTATGAGTTTGAGACCAAGCTGAGCTAAAATAAGATCCTATCTCTAAAAAACTGGGCAGGCATTGTGGCGAGTGCCTATAGTCCCAGCTACTTGGGAGGTCGAGGCAA